CCCCCCCCCCCGCTGTCTCTACCTTCTCACCATCGATCTGAGACAAATTAAAAACCCGGATAAAGTTATATGAACCCCACTGACGACACCAATGGGAAAAGACTGAGCTGGACACCAGGAGACGCTGGTGCTTCAGAAGGACCTGCCGCCAAGCACTGGGCCGGAGTGTACTCCCGGGACTCACACCAGCACCCTGTCCAGCTGTGAACTAACTTGGGAGAGAGAACCAACCAGGCAGAGCAACGCAGTATCCTGGGATCTTCGTTGTTGTTTGTATGTTTTTAATGGAATTCTACAGAGATCTACTCTGGTGTCACAGTGTGCGTTCTACTTATGGTCAAACTACCATGTGACAAGTTGACTCACAGTAAAAACACTGGGTCTGTAACAAAACCGCACTGTACTGGGCCACAGACCTGCTGGCCCAGGCTGTCAACACGTGTGACCACGCAAACCCACGCAGATCCCGGGCCCCACTGTCACTGAACAGGCGAGCGTGCGTGCCTGGCATCCAGGTGTGAGGAGGTGCTGGGGAGGGTGACTAACACGGAAACAACAAATAACTGAAGACAGTGTCCACGCTATGAGAAGCACAAGCCTGGCGGTGAGGAGAGCGGCGGCGACCGCCCCAAGCTCCGGGACTGGGAAAGGCCCCTGTGCAGGGTCCACGCTGGTCAGGAGCCCCGAGACCAGGCCTCAGAGCGGCAGCCTCCAGGGGTGTGCCACCACGTCCTCGCTCCACCCTGTGTCCACACCAGCTGCTCTGGATTTGAAGCTGAAGCTACGTTACAGCTTCCTGACCCCCCCGTTTACACGCTTCAGCAGCTCATCCTCATGTCCTGTGACACACAGAGCCCCTTTAGGTCTGGAACGTGGTTAGCACACGGCAGGTGGTAATGAGCGTGCCTCTTACCCTTTTAAAAAATTTTTACCACCTTCCTTTTCCTTTTTTTGTTAATCCTCGCCCGAGGCTATTTCTCCAACAATTTTTAGAGAGAGTGGAAGGGAGGGGGAGGGGAAGGAGGGAGGGAGAGACACATCCATTGGTTGGCCCTGCAGGGAACAGCGCTCTCTGTGAACAGGGCTCTTACACAGGAGCCCACACTGAGTCAGGACCAGACACGACATGCACTTGTGAACAGGCCACGTCACCCGTTCACTCAACTTCGCAAGGCTCTGCTCCTAGAAGGGGTAATTACTAACTCGGTTTACAACAAGCGACGGGAAACCGGAAGCCTGACCTGAGTCAGGCCGCCCGTCCGAGCTGCGGAACTCCTGCATCCTCTTCTCCAGCTTCTGCTGCCGCCGCCGCTTCATGACCACCTCGGGGTTCGAGATGGTGCGGGTGAAGCTGGTTTCGGGCATGTCTTTGTAAACCTCAGCAGCCAGGCGAGAATTCTCACTGTAAGAAACAAGGACACCAACACCATTTAAACACTTCTATGTCAGAAACTGTTACACTGTGACCATCTACACCTGGAAGGGCAGCTGCGTGCGGGCTCACCGCGCAGCCACAGCCAATGTGGACAGAGTGCACTTTCTCAGTACCGACTGACAGACCGAACTAAACAAACTTACAGTTCAAATCCTATGGTGGGTTTATACCGTTAATTACTGCGTATTAACAAAGCTCAGGAAAAGGTATCAATTATACATCTCAGCAATTTCCACCCATGTTACCCTAAAACAGACCAAATCAGTGACACAACAGCCCAACCCCAAGAAATAAGATGGACTATACATGTTTTAACAACTAAAAGGTTCACCAAGGTTCACTTTCTTGAAGCTAAGTTTTCAGAAGGGAATTGCCACAATGGTTCCTACGAGGGGTCAGCTGTACAGAGGGATGCGCTGAAAACTAAATATGAAGGGAACACTGACGTACTTGACTAAAATTTGATGCTACTGAAGATGACATTCTCAATCATAAAAATAAATTTTTTAAAATATATTTTTATTGATTTCAGAGAGGAAAGGAGAAGGAGAGAGGGAGATAGAAACATCAATGATGAGAGAGAATCATGGATCGGCTTCCTTCTGCACACCCTACACTGGAGATCGAGCCCGAAACCTGGGCCTGTGTGCCCTGACCGGGAATTGAACCGTGACCTCCTGGTTCATAGGTCGATGCTCAACCACTGAGCCACGCCGGTTGGGAATCAATCATAAAAATCATTTAATTAACAACCAGTCTTTGATTCCATCAAGCTAAGTGACTTAATTCATTTTAAGTAGCTAATTTTCTTAAAAATAATATATCACATCTCATAAACTAAATTGATAAAAAAACAAACCTTCACCAAGGTTCTAAACTCTTCTTTCCTTTGGTGCTGCTCACATATGAGCGATATATTTATACAAGCCCTTTCTCATGTAGAACCACCTTAACAAAGCCTTGCTATGTGGTACCAGACTCAGGAGTTCCTCCGTGGGCAGCAATGCCTAGCAGGTGAGCACCGAAGCCCACGGTAATACACTGAACCCGGCTGCAATTCCATGCTAAGTAAATGCCATCCCTGACCAATGGCTGATGTCCTCAATACAGAACATGCAGAATCAATCAAAAGTGGGGGGAAAAGGCCTGAGGAAGTCATGGCAACAGAAGCATGAATAGAAGTGGTTAATGAACACGTCGACAGACATTACCTTGCTAATGATAAAGTAAACTCTACTGACTGAAGATGTTCTACACTGAGAGCGAGCATGCTCTGGCCCCAGCAGTGCTGAGGGCACGAGATGAGGGTGTGGGGGCTCCTGGGGGCGCACCTGGCAGCAAGCCCCCGAGCTGTCCCCAGCCATTCTTCCCCAGCAAACCCTAAGGGAACAACAAGACGAGCCCCCACAGTTCTGGAGCAAGGAGAGTCACCGGAGCATTATTAATACCGAGAACCTGTGAACACCTACAAGCACCAAAAGAGCTGGTTCCATACGTTTTGGAAAAACTGTATGAGAGAATAGAGTATAACACGTAGATTACTTAAAATACACATATTTGTGACTACAGGTATATCTGTGAATAAATTTTTATGTGAACTATAAATCATACTCATTAGTGGGGAGACGTCATGTGGAAAGTTCTAGTTTTGAGACTGTGACTATATTCCGTTTAAAAACTCTACATAAACACAGGAAGTGTGTGCATTTGCGGAGCAGACACAAACTCTGGTCCCTGGCTCAGGTGACGGCAGGGACCCCTTCCCTCCTGGCAAGTCTACAGACTCCTACTTTCCAAGTGAACTCCTCGACCTCAGTGGAGAAACGCGACACACAGACGACTGCGCGGTCGGCACCAAGGCGAGCGAGTCTGAGCCCGGGCACAGCCGGGGGCGACCTGGACAGAGAGCTGAGGAGGCGGCGCGCCCACCCGGAGACCCACACGAGGGGTCAGCTTCTCCCGACGTCGCTCTCTGTGCGAATGGAAGCGCAAGGGCTCCCTGTTCCCTCGGCTCTGCGGTCAGAAGCCCACACTCCTGCGCAGGTCAGGGGGTCCAGGACGGGCTGGGTGGCAGGCGGAGGAATGGGAGTCAGTGCGCATGGCCCTTTAAGGGACCGGGCTGCTCTCGCTGCCCGTGACAGCTCTGAGCATGTGGTAAGCGTATGTGAGGTGCATAAGAAACCACCGTTGCCTAAAGGACCCCAAAAACAGAAATAAAAGGAAGGCCGGGTGCAGGTGAAGAGAAGACGTGGACAGCCATGGTCCACTCGGAAAGAACAGCACTGTGAACCGGCCGGCTTGCTCACCGAGCTCACTCAGTGAGCGACAGGTGCTGCCAGCAAACAGCTCCAGCAGAAGAGCCGCCGTTCGCCCACATTACCCTCTGACCGGACCGTCCGCGGCATTCAAACCCCTGGCTCAGAACACAAAGGAAGGCGCGTGTCTCCCACGTAACTCACACGTCTTCCCCTCGGAAAGGCCCGTCCTCTCTGTCGGGTGCCTGTCTCAGGGCCTCTTTTTCTCGCTTCTTTTTCTCCTTCTTTTCTTTCTTGGAGAGAGTCCGCTTGAAGTTCTGGATAACGCCTTCCTTTTCCTGCTTTTCAGGTCCATTGCTCTGAGCCTTCTGACAGAAGGGACATGATCACTACGCTGGCTACGCCAGAACCACGTCAAGCTCTCCTGGGGCCGAGCCCGGCTCATCCACGCGCCTCGGCACAGCCACCGGCCCGGGAGTGCCGGGGGGGTTCTCCAGTTCCACTGGGCTGACCGTGCCGTGAGCGCAGGCATCAACTCTTAATGAGTTACACGCCACTGTCTGTGCATCTCACTGCGTGTGAGCTTTAGCACAACTCACACTGCTAAGCAGACAAGCAGGCAAGTCCAGCAGGAAAACTGGGGTGAGAATCATGAAATCTGATTTTCAATAAGTAAAAATCCAAATATTTTACATAGAGTAATTTGAATAAAAGAAACCTAATAAAAAATATAGAAATAACTAAGCATTAAGTCATTATCTACTTTACAGTGTTTCTAACTTCAAAAGAAGTAAAGCAGCTGTAATAAACTGGCTTTTAATGAAGCAAAGCTGTAAGGATAGTTTGAGCAAAAACGTCCAATTTTTTTTCTGGATCTTGTTAATCTGCTTGTCCATTCTTACTTTGTAGCATGGCCTGCCAGCGGGTCAGTGGCCATTTCTATGCAATGTAACAGGGTAACAGGCAGGTCACCGAGGAAACAGAGCGGGATGGCGACGCCCTGGGGAGCAGCCGCCTGCCCGGAGGAGGAGGGCGCGGGGCCTACCTTGGGAGGAGCGGCGTCGTTCTCGTTCTTCAGGACGAACCTGCCCTCGCGGTCGTCTTTATTCCAATTCAGCTGCACGACCAGGGGCTTCTCTTCCACATCCAATCTTCTTTCTTCTTCAGAACATGAAAGAGAAAAAGGGAAGCCGTGGTTACCTGACGACTGTGGCTCACCCAGCGTCCTGATGGCGTTTAATGAGAGCGACATAAGGATCACCTCGAGGCCTTGCTATCAGGCTGGAATGCAACGCAAATGCTCCGTGAGCTTTACCGCCTGACGCGGTGTCTGTGCCGTCTGCACACCACCACGCATCCAGTGCACCCCTGGCCAGACACAACTTCCTCACAACATTCAGAACGGAACTGGGAAACACCAACCAGGGAGGAAACAGTTTCTAGAACCTTGCTAAACAAGCCTGTTTCTGGAAATGAAATTGTCCCATGGGCAACAGGAGGAAGCGCTAACACAGCACAGACAGCCCCGATCCTTGAGGCTCTCCTCGCGCATTAACGTTGCGCTTCAGGATCCACGACCCACGTGGCATCTTCAGGCGTGGAAGTGGCTGCTCTTCTTCCTCGCTCTGTGCCTCTGACCCTCGCCCCTCACATGCGCTTCCGGGAACACAAGCTCCCACCGCCTGTTCTGTGCTGGGGTCGAGTGCTCAGTTGAGTGTCTGTCTTCCTTCCTCCTCAGAACCCAGCCAGCATCGGGCTCACGGAGCCGGGAGAAGGCGGCCACTGAGGCCTCTGGAGAGGCCACCCAGCCTGGCCACCCAACAGGAGCCTCCAGGCGGCACAGGTCAACAGGCACTGAGCACAGGCTGTGCTCCAATGAGGGCAGCAGAGCTGGGAGGCGGGGGACAGGGCACATGTAAAGCATAAGCAGACCTGCAGAGGCACTTGGTGAACAGGGTGTGCAAACAGTGATGAAGCACAGCTAATTCTAAGTTACTGTCTTATCAACTGAAAACATGAGAAATAAAACACAGAGTGACAGATCAATAACTGGATTAAGAAGTCTGACATTCCTGCTACAAACCAAAATTACCATGATGTTGTGAAGTTTGCACTAGAGAAAAGCCCTTCACACTGCATGCTTAGAGACTAATATTAAGAACAATGACGTCTAAATCACAAAAGCAAACAGAACCAGGGTGAGGTGCCCTAGCGCACACGTGGCCCCCCCCCCCCCCCCCCCCCCCGAGTGCACGTGTCCTCACTTTCAGGGAGCTCCTGCCTTCCTGGATTTCCTACTCGTTTTAAAGACGGCAGCCTTTTCCTTTCTCCAGAGGAAAGTAACTGTGACTAAGAATGGAAGGAGTTTAGTTTTTCCTTCATTTCATGCATATTACTTCTTCAAAGAGCCACAGAGTTGTTAGAGCATAAACACTTACTAATTTGTCTAAATCCAGCTACTCAATAAAATAGGGTGTTCGGTCTGACCTGAGGCCAAGGGGTGCCATTAAGAACTGCCTGACCCCGAGGCTCCGCGACCTGGGGAGACTGAGGTCGGCCCAGGTGGGACCCTCCGCTCTGAGCACCAAGGGGTGGAAGGACAGGCCCACTGTCCTGGCTGCTCCCTCGCCTCAGGGCTGGGGGAGACCATTTCCTTTCCTTTTTACGCCTCCATGGTTTTCACCTCCATACAAGTAAGACATTTTACTGTTTTATTAAAAGCAAATCTAATTTTAAAAATCTAAAGGAAAGCGGTTCTTTTAAAAAAAATCAAAACCATGCTGCTTTTAGATCTCAAATTCCCATCTTGCATCCTGTTACTGCAAAGACTCCACTTGGTGGCTTCCACGGACCAACCAGACGCGGAGAAGTGGAGGCTGTCTTCCTCTCCAAGGTCCTGAGCAAAGGACACCC